GCCTGGGGGTGCTGAGCCTGGGGGTGCGGAGCTTGGGGGTGCGGAGTCTAGGGGTGCTGAGCCTGGGGGTGCTGAGCCTGGAGGTGCTACTGCCAGCACTGACCCTTCTTTCGAGTCTTCTGCTGCGTCTGCCCTTGTTACTGAGCTCGTCGACTTTGCTGCGCGCTGTCGTCTCGACTACGCTGCTAGTCTTGTCGCTGAGTCTGAGTCTGCCTTTCCTCCGTCCGTCGGGGGTGAGTGTGCCCTTGGCACGGACGTCGTAGAGAACAGGCAGGAGGAGTTTCAGTGTCTGGCCGCCGCTTCACCTCATCTTGCGTCTGTACTGCTCACCCCTAAGGGAGACCTGGATGCACTAGACATCCCGACTCCGCGCTCTTACGCGGAGGCGATAGAGGGTCCCTACTCCTCTCAATGGCAGGCAGCTATGGATGCAGAGATGGCTTCCTGGAAGTCCACAGGCACCTACGTTGACGCTGTCCCCCCTCCTGGGGCGAACATCGTTAGTGGCATGTGGATTTTCAGGGTGAAGCGGCCGCCGGGTTCTCCGCCTGTCTTCAAGGCGCGTTACGTGGCTCGTGGCTTCAGTCAGCGGCAGGGAGTTGACTACTTTCAGACCTTCTCCCCCACCCCGAAGATGACCACTCTTCGGGTACTGCTGCACGTTGCTGCTCACCGTGACTACGAGCTGCACTCTCTCGACTTCAACACTGCTTTCTTGCAGGGCAGCCTGCACGAGAAGATCTGGCTGCGTCGCCCACCTGGCTTCACTGGGCCTTTCCCTCCTGGTACCCTGTGGAGTCTCCGGCGTCCAGTCTACGGTCTCCGCCAGGCACCGCGTGAGTGGCACGACACACTGAGGACTACGCTGGCGACACTTGGGTTTGCTCCTTCCACTGCAGACCCGTCGCTGTTTCTGCGCACCGACACTTCTCTGCCGCCGTTCTACATCCTCGTGTACGTCGACGACTTTGTCTTTGCCACTGCTGACACTGCTGGACTCGCCTACGTGAAGTCAGAGCTGAAGAAGAGACACACGTGCACTGACCTAGGTGAGCTGCGCAGCTACCTTGGCTTGCAGATCACCCGGGACAGAGCACGCCGCACCATCACCCTGACTCAGTCACACATGGTGCAGCAGGTCCTTCAGCGCTTCGGCTTCACGTACTCCTCGCCTCAGGCCACTCCTCTGCCTACTCGCCACTCGCTCTCAGCTCTGCCTTCGGATGAGTCCGTAGAGTCGAGTGGCCCGTATCCAGAGCTTGTCGGCTGCCTCATGTACCTGATGACCTGCACACGACCTGACCTTGCATACCCTCTTAGCATTCTTGCACGCTATGTTGCTCCTGGGAGACACCGACCAGAGCACATGGCTGCAGCAAAGAGGGTGTTGCGCTACTTGTGCAGTACGTCGGGCATGGGGCTAATGCTTGGAGGGTGCAGTCCAGTGGTCCTCACAGGTCACGCGGACGCTTCTTGGGCTGACGACCAGGCTACGCAGCGGTCGTCACAGGGTTACACTTTCAGTCTTGGTTCCGGCTCTGTTTCGTGGTGGGCTACCCGCTCGTCTTCTGTTCTTGGCTCCAGTTGTGCGGCTGAGATCTACGCCGGGGCTATGGCTGCACAGGAGCTTCGCTGGCTCACCTACCTGCTGACCGACCTTGGAGAGCCGCCTCGTTCTCCTCCAGTCTTGTACGTGTACAACAAGGCCATGCTGGCCTTGTGTCGAGAGCAGCGACTGGAGCACAGGACAAAGCACATTGCTCTCCGCTACTTTCTTGCGCGTGAGCTGCAGCAGCGTGGACAGTTGCGGCTTGCGTACGTGGCCTCTGAGGCCAACACTGCTGATGTCTTCACCAAGGCACTTGCGCCTTGTGATCATCAGCGCTTCTGCACTCAGTTGGGGCTTGTGCCTGTCTTGCCTCACTTGCTTACTTCTTGACCTTGCTTGTACTGTCACATATATATACTCTTGCTCTTGCTTGCTTAGCCTTTTGTATACCTATATGTGATCTTGCTTGTGAACTGGCCTCCTGGCCTTTGAACTTGTGCTTGGAATGTGTGGTGACTTTGTGATCCACCCTGAGCTTTGCCTTGCTTTGCTTGACTGGTCTTGTGACCCCTTGTTCTCCCCCACTTTGCCTATGGGGGTGTGTCAGAACATTATAGCTTACTTACTTGTGTAGGCTATAGTGGGGTATCCCATAGGGGGTACAACCCAATTAGGGTTTCCTATTTGTACTCACTTCGTTCATAGTTCATTTCATTCTCGTTCTATTCTTCTCAGAAGTTTAGGGATTTTACCTGCCGGCGACGAGTGATGGGTAAAACCTCTGCAAAGCGCCAGTGGGAGTTGCGTGGTTTTCAGTTAAAATTCATTGGCGGGAGCAGCTTAGACGACGGGGTCAACGGCGTTGATGCCACTAGGTTCCGTGAGATTCGGTCTCGAAATAGCCCAGGGCAGTCCCGGTTCTCGATTGAACCCACATGCTGGGGTCGGGTAACCGACGGAAACTGCTGGTGACCGAGTGGGCGGCTATTATACGACCGAAGATTTTGGAGGAGGGCTGCACCTGCAACTGCGGATTTACGGGGCTACGTTTCGAGCGACAATTTCGGAGTTTCCTGTGGACTTACCGGTTTTACGGCGAGGAGCGCCGACAATTTCGGAGGAGTTGCGACATTTGGTTAAACGCGAGCGACATTTACTTCGGGCAACACCGCGAGGACTACATGGATTTTCTCAGGGGTACGAACGAGTTACGACGAACTGAAGACGGCAGCAGCAATAGTGACGGGGGGGAGAGACAGCTGCAAATTTTCATCCCTGCCCACGAACTTTCAGGGAATTTTGCAAAACTCTCGGAGAATCCATCCCAACTCTGCTTCTGACAACTCCGGCCATTATCTCGGATACTCAAAATCTGCCTGAGCGCGTTCTCAGGTGTAATCACCAACAGAAACACGGTTTTGCGATATTGTAAGAAGATTTTCTGGCTTATATTCGATACAGTCACTAAAAAGGTTCCAGCGCTTGCAAACAAATAAATATAAAACCTGAAGCGAACCTAGATGATTTACGGGAAGGATCAACCGTAAATACCGAAAGCCGCCCAATAATTTGGAAAACATATTGCAACCCACTTTACAGGAAAAATAAAACCCAATCGGAAAGGGATGCGACTCGGGAGGCATCAACCCTAAAAACCATGCCCATTCCCGTGTTTAGGGTTCCCTAGGGGTTTTATTTTTCTCCGCCATGCCTGAATACCGGTAGCGTTGTTTAGCGGTCGGTTGTTTAGCGTTGAATCATATGGGCTTCAATCTCTTACTACGTAAATTTCGTACTTATATCCAAGTCGGGAGGGTAACCTGAATGGTTCTGTTTTTGTCACTTCCTAATGAGGTCGACCAGCGTGAGAAATGCGCTCAGGCGAAATCTGAGTATCGGGATGATATACCTCAGCCGACGAAAACGGCCGCCCAATTTCGCGGTGGCGATAGGACAACGAACCCCCTCGGGATTGACGAGCTCCTGACGACATCCGAGTGGCAAACTGGGGCGACCTGGCAGTCCTCCGGGGCCCTCAACCCCTCGGGATTGTCGACAACCTGACGACCTCGATATTCGCTGAGAGAAACCTGAGAAGGATACCTCAGCGGACCCTGAACCACAGCTCGACACGTCGTGCGCCGAGCCGCGATTACGGCCACGTGGCCTAGTAAGGACGGCCGAGATCGAGCCTGACAATCGGGAGGTGCCACGATGACGCCGACGTGGCCCCGCTTCGCAGCACCTGTATCTTTCGCTGCGCGCGAAACTTGGCCCGCCGATGATCAATGTCACCATCGTCCACGCGGCGAAAGCCGACTGGCTAAGGCATGTACATGTGTCCACCATCTAGATAGCCAGAGAATGCGAGGTAATGAGATGTCGGTGTCGCCCGAAGATCCAACCGAAGCAGCACGACCCACACGGATGGTTCTGTGCGGACCAAACCCTGCATAGGCGAAGAGAGCCCCAGACTCAGGGAATGTCGGCGTCGACCAGGCCTCCAGCCACGCGCCTACTCGCAGGTCGATGAGGTTTGCGCGGGAGAGCAGGACGCTACGGCATTTCGGGAGAGTGGAACTAGGTGATTGGCCTATTGCACCTATTGCAAGTGGCGCACGTGAATTCCACCATGGCAAGGCACCGGTGGGAGTGCCGCTGAGCGCAAAGCGGCGTGACACAAAACATGCATCAATCGTGACACGTCATGCACGTGCACTGCTGCGCTTGCAAAGAGGGCTGCGTGGAGCGCGGCAGGTGCGCGGTGGCCCGCATCCATACCCCTCTTCGACCACGCACAACGCTCTCATTCTGCCTGTTCCGCTTCGTGTTTCTCTCGTGCTCCTGTGCGCCATCTGGCACTTCACTTTCTTCACAGGACCCTCGCTGTCTCTGCGGGTCTAGGTTACTCGACGGCCGAGTCCACCCAGCGGCGGCACTCAGGCGTCGACCTGGAATAGACTTCGGTCGGCACTAAGGCGTCGACGTGAATCACTTCCGTCTCTGGTTTACCAATCTTTCCCTCTTCCACGGCCGGCGGTAGAGCATACGAGCGGTCATGGACGACGTCGACATGCCCGACGTTGGTACCCCAACCGACCACAGTCCGTCCTCTGCCCCCGTAGGGACGCTGAAGTTGCTTTACGATCTTGACAAACTTACTCAGATTCCCGAAGGGGTGTACACCAAGGACATACCGAATCCGCCAATTGGGGAGTTTACGAAGAAGTCGACACCGACGGCAGATGGGCAGCCTGGACCTTCGTCGGTTCCGGCCGGCTCGGAAAACCAAGATGATGACGACGACGAGGACGAGGAAGAGAGCGACGACGAAGTCGACGACCGTCCTCCGCGTAGCACAAATCCGCGCACCTTGGAAGAACGCCTTAGGCGGGAATTTGAATACATACGTGACATGCTCGAAGAGGACGAGAAGGAGGACAATCAGCACATGGCGGTGCCGCGCGAAGGGTGGAAGGCGACGGACTTTGTAGTGGACGACATGGTGTACTCCAGCATTGACGTGCTCATAATGGACGCCCTACGACACCTACAATGCTTGGAGAAGAATAGCACGCTCAGGCTGTACACCGCGTTCATCTACCACTACAAGAAGTGGGCGGCAAAGATGCTGAAGCAGATACGCGACAAGCTCCCCCATGAGCAACGACTTAGGCACGTCGACGAGATCGGCCACTACATCCAGGACAACAAGAAAAAGGATTGGTGCAACGAGAAAGTGGTCCGCCGAGAGTACATCTGGCTGCACGGCCCTAAGGTCACCGAAGCCCGGCTGCGCGCCTACGTGAAGCAAATGAGCCGTGAGTGTAACCTCATTGCTGACCCGCCCGGGGAGGAGAACAATGCCACGCGAACGGGGCCTGTGAGGTCGACAACTGTGCACACGATCCTCGGCCGCATAAAGGCATGCCAGATGGCGGCGAGGGTGGAGGCGACGCTGTACCGAGAGAAGGAGCTGGGCATCATGAGGGAGATCTCGGTGGTGAGATCGGAGATGCGGTTCAACGTCCGCCACAAGAACGAGAGGGACATCAAGTAAGTTGGTCGACAACCTTATTACATATCACTGTCCACTGTGAAGTCGACGCAGTCTAACAGATTTTCCCCGCCGATTTGCGTTCAGGAACTGCGCTGACCGTCGACGCGGCACCATCGGCGATACCTACACCGCCGAGCAGTTCCGCCAGATCATGATGAGGGTGCTGCCGACATGGGCGGCGACGGCGTGGAACCCGCGGGCTACCACTCCGTCGCAGACGCTGTGGCGATTCCTGCTCATCAAGGTGCTCACGCTACTCTCCCACCACACTCTCCTGCGCGGCGCCAGCATCCGCGAGATCACGCTCCCCGACGTCTTCTTGTACCACCTGGCGAGCACCTCAGAGGTGAACCCGGATAGCCAGCCGGTCGTCATGGTGATCGCTGCGCGTAACTCAAAGACTTCCAAGGATGCCCGTCTTCAGCAGAGCTACGCTGCGCGACACCTGGAAGCGGAGCTGTGCGCCGTCGGCGAGACCGGCCTGTGGCTGCACTTCATCCTCGACCAGATCGGTCAGTTCTCCGGCACCGACTTCCTTTCGCCGCTTGACACCACAGAACGCGAACGCTGGTACAAGAAGCATCTCTTCTTCGCCAGAAACGACAAGGAGCAGGAGGAGCTCTCCTCCGCCACCCACCAACGTTGGACTCGGCAGATGTGGAGGACCAACAAGGTGTTCTGCAAAAGGAACGTGCACGCCGCCCGCGCCGGTGGTGCGTAGGAGCTAGCCATCAGAGGGACGCCGCGCGCCCAGATCGCCGAGCTGGGACACTGGGCTCTCGACAAGATGACGCGTGCGTACATCACGGCCATTCCCGTTGGGGTGGTGATGCAGAAGGCCGGCTACTCGGGACTCAAGCAAGACTACTTCTTGGGGCGCAGCAGGGTCGAGCCCTCCGACAAACTCCTGGACCTGCTCGCCGAGCACATCTTCCCCGGCGTGGATGCTATGCTGCGCGATGTATGTCACGCGACGCTGACAATGTTTTTCAGTCGTCGTCGCCTAGTTGGCTGCCCAACTCCCTACTAACCCACGCCACTTTCCGACTTGCAGGCGGAGACGTGTGCCGTCAACGGGAGCGACGCCGATGCAGCCGTAGTGCACTTCTTGCGCACCCTCGTGATGTTCCGACGAATCGTCGCCGAGGACCTCGCGGTGAAGCTCGTCCGCACACCGTGGCACCCATACGTCCAAGGTTCCAAGCTCTGCAGGATTGCCCTCTTCCAGCACTGGGCGAAAAGGGTCGAGTCGGTCGACACCGATACGATCAAAAAGCGCCGGGACCCAACTCAGATTCAGCCGGAGGTGAGTCGCCGACCATGTCGGCGTCGTTGAATTTTAGCCGATGACTTCTAACCTCTTGTCGCCTTTCCGCACACTTAACATTGCAGGAAATATCCGTGCGCATGGACACCCAGTATCACAACATGTCCCTCAAGGAGGCGCTGAAGAAGGAGGTCGAACGCTCGGCGCTCGAGAAGCTAGGCTACCAGGAGACGATCGAGAAGCAAAACGACACCATCGCGTCGCTCACCGCCGAGCTTGCTCGACTCACCGAGGCACTCCGTGTGTCAGAAGCCCGGAGGATGCCGGCGGCGCCGCCGTCGGCGACCGATCAAACTCCGGGCGAGGGTGGCTCCGCGGATTCGGCCAACACGGGGACCGGAGCCAAGAGAGATGATGGGAAACCCCCGCCACCCCCCCAGACGGCAGAGGAGGCCAGTTACGAGCTCAACGTGGTGCAACCGTGGCGGGATTCAAAGACCGTGCGGGACGCTTGGCGCCTCGGGAACTCCGCCACCGCCAATGACACCCGTCGTCTTTGCGACAGGGTCGCCGAGCCGGGGTTCATCGACCGCCACACCCTCCTCAAAGGCGCGACCCAGGGTGCACTCAACATGAGGGTGCGCCGCATGCTGAAGGCCATGGATGCGGTGCGCCAGCTACGCGCGAGCGACGGCGATGCCGACACCGAAGCCGTGGTCGATGCACTGAACACGATCGCGGCACCGGGCATTGGGACCTTCTACGATGCCCTCACGGTGCTCAACCCGGAGACGGCACCGACGATGTCCAAGGAGCCTGGCATGGGCGTCAAGGGGCTTGGCCCCAAGGTGGTCTCGAAGCTACGCCTCGCCTGTGCGCTGGTGGCGCTGGAGCTGAAGCCGACGACGTGGGTCGACCGCCTGTTTCCAGACACCTGGGAGGATCAGATGCCGAAGACCGAGGCCGACTTGGCCAAGCAGACCGCACCTGCGCAGCGTCCTCCATCAAAGCGCAAGAAGTCGGCATGAACATCCTCGGTGCATATGTGTTAGCGTAGGTTGATGCCCTAATTTAGCAACATATGTGTTCCCATTGTACTTGTTGATGGTGATGCAACACGAACATACATGATCCAACACATACATCCGAACCAGATATGTCGGACTCCGACATAGTCGCCACCATGTGTTTGCAATTCATTGTGCCTTATTCATGTCGACGTCTCGCACGATTGCATGTCGATAGGGCGTCGACATATTCGCCGACATATCTCGTCGCGGAATAGCATGTGTCTACCCCGTCTATCATCGCTGCTCGCCGAGTAGGATGTTCCTTTTGATGTCGACGCATGCGCCGACAAGGCGCATCGTTCAAAGTCGGCTAGCAAGTTTCAATGTGGACAGTGATTTACTAAAAAACGGAAAAAGATTCGTGCCCTACGATACAAAAGTCATTAGAATAACTTGGCCATCGGCGCCAACCATACAATAGTGCCCTGCACACCGCAGCCCGCCAACTACGCATCCGTACTGCCCATGCCCTGCTTGCTCTTCTTCCTCTTGCTGCTGCCCTTGCTCTGCTTGACCTTCTCCCCCTTCCTCCCCCTGTGATCCATATCGTACTCCATCCTCGCGTCACACGGCACATCGATGCCCTGCGCTTTGAGCTTGGGCCCGGCGACGGGGCACATTCCCCAGAACGCCAAGGTCTCGACCGTCGCTCTTGCGATCATGTCGGCCTCGACTTCCTCAACTCCCTTCACGAAGGCCCTGGCAACTGCCTGGCTCTGCAGCGATGGCGCGACGTTATGTGCAACCTCCCCAGCGGGAGCCTGCCTGCTGCGTGCTATGTCGATCACCGCGTGCATCACCTCCTTGAAGTCCTTGGCCCTCGCCTCCCCCGCACCCGCCACCATCGCCGCCGCCTTCCCTTCGCCCACAGCACCGAGCACCGACGCCCCCGTCTCCAAGAAGCACCAGATGGCGCATGTCGATGCCGCTAACGCCTGGGCCCCCATCTCCATCTTCTCGTCCGCCTTCCCCTCCACGCTCGCATCGACCTTCCCAAACGCCGCGCTCGCCGCGACCTTCCCATACGCCGCGCACATCGACACGCGATTTACCATCGCCGACATGAGAGCGTTCGTCTCTTCCTTGCCTTCCTCCGTGTCCTCGTTGATGGGGAACCAGATCGCCGGCCAGAGCACGTCATGAAGCGCAACACCCGAACTCGCGTACCCACGGTACCTGCCGAGTATATCGTCGAACCTGCCGCGCAAACACATTAAAACGACAGGACTTCAGCATTTTGACACCAACTTGGTCGACAGAACTCGGCACGTCAGTATTCGTCTTACCTTGCTCTCGGATGGCACAAGCCTCTGGCCCACATCACCGTCCACATCCCAGTGGGCAACAACTTCACCTCCGCCCACACCTCCTTCCATTTATCCAACTCCCCCGGGTTCAAGACGGTGAGCTCCTTCATGAGCACCTTGCTCACGTAGCCGTCGTAGACGACGAACGCAATCGCGTGCTCGTAGGCCACCTCCATCTTCTCCCTCGACTTGCCAATGTACCGATTCTGTCCGTGTACCTTAATTTCGCCCACCCACCCTTGCCCGTCGCCAGCCTTGTCTCGGCGGATGCCATGACCCCTGCGTCCATGCTCTTTATCTCCCTCGCCGCCCTCCTCGTCCTCCTCCTCCGCCTTCTCCTTCTTCTTCGCCGGCTTACCCTTGCCGCCCGTCTTGTCCTTCTCCCCTTCCGCCTTCTTTCCTTTCTCTTCCGACGTCAACTTCCCCGCAGTCATCGCCCGCGTGCTCCTCTGAGAGACCGCCTTCCCTTTCCCGTTGTCGTCCTTTTCCTTCCGTCCAGCATTTATCTCGGCGACAGCAGCCGTTGCGGCCGTCTGCTCCGTCGAACCCCCTCCGTGGGTCGCCGACGGCACCACATGCGCCGTGTCCATGATGGCCATAACAGGGGCGTGCTCGGGGCGCTTTGCTGCCTCAAAATGGGCCATGACGACAGCGAGGTCGGCATGCTTGTCTGCGCGGCCGCCGGTGGCGAGCGCTGCACTCACTCCCTTCTCCGCCGCCACATCGACCACAGATGCACCTGGTGTGGGTGCGGTCGCGTTTACCGACATCGGCGTCGCGCTTTTGCCGAGTTCCGGCAGGGTCACTGACGGAGCAGTTGCTTTGCGTGCGCCTAAATGGGCGCGAAGAAAATCGGACTTGGGGTCCGCAGGCGGTGGGGCGGCCACCGGAGGCGCGGCAGGTGGGGCACCGGACGACTTGCCGGCAACCTGCGTAGTGACGGAGCGGCGTGCTGTTCCAGGAAGGCCGGCGTCGACCACGGGATGCTGCTGCACGTCCCTGCTATGTGCCTCCATGCGGCGGAGCATCTCTCTGAGCGCGGTACCACCGGGGGGGGCCTTAGCTGATGCCATGGCATCACCCTTAGCCGAAGCAACCTTCGCGACAACCTTGGCGGCAGTCGGGGCTGCTGGAGCTGGAGCAGCCTCGCCATCTTTGTTCGCACCTGACTGGCCGGCAGGCGCGCTGGTAGCCGCAAGGGGGTTACGGGGACTCGACTTGGTGGTGCCGGCAACTGTAGCAGAAGCAGGCTTGGCCGCCGCCGCGACGGGTGGTCCCTTGGTGGTTCCGGAGTCACCATCATTCGCCGCCTGAGCAGTTGGCACCTCCTTGTCGGTAACGCGTTTCCCACTGCTCGCCTGAGGATGGGTCTGCTCGGCGACCAAAGGCGGGCCAGTCGGAGCAGCTAGGTTAGCGGCAACCCCGTCAGCAGGGCCACCCTCTGCTCCCCCGCTTCCGCCTCCCTTGCTGTGCGACGTCCTTACCACCTTCCACCCCGCCTTCGTCTTCAGCTGGTCGACCACGCTTTTTTGCGCAGGCTTCGACCCGAAACTACCGTCCGATCCCTTGCTCCGCTTCGAGCTCTCCTTGTCGTCTCCGTCGCCCGTCCTCTTATGGCCCTGCTTCTCGGCCGTTTTTCTTTGCGCGTTATCGGCGTCATTGGCCGAAGGCGACGACCCACGACGACCAGGCGCCACAGTGCCGATCATCTCTGTCATCATCTTCATCCCGGAAACAACAAAAGACTGTTGGGTGGCCTCCGTCACCGCCTTCAGGATGTCGGCCTTGAACGACTTCAAAAGCTCTTCTGGGATGGCGGGCGGCGTGGGATGAGGCGGTGGCGGCGGCGGCACGGCGAGCCTGGCGGTCAAAGCGGTGGCGATGTTGACCTGCGCGGAGGCAAGGTGGTTCGAGATGTACTCTTCCAACCCCTTCTTCGCATCGCCCACCACCGAATCCACGTGTTCGGCCAAGGAGGAGACCGCTAACGCTCGTGCATACGCGACACGACCCTCCGGATTGTCGAAGTCCTCCAACCACTCCGTCGTGAAACTAACTGAACAGGAATGAATTGACTAAGTCAGAGTTGGGTACAAATACAACCCTAGCAAACTGTACCCCATATGTGCTACCCCACTATAGCCTACAAACATGCATCAGCTATAATAATCTGACACACCCCCATAGGCAAAGTGGGGGAGAACAAGGGGTCACAAGACCAGTCAAGCAAAGCAAAACAAGCTCAGGGTGGATCACAAAGTCACCACACAGTCCGAGCACAAGAGCAAGGCCAGAGGCCAGTTCACATGCAGGAGTACAGACATATATATAAAACTAGACAAGCAAGAGCAGGTATATATATGTCAAAGTACAAGTAAAGTCAAGAAGAGAGCAAGTGAGGCAAGACAGGTACAAGACCCAGCTGGGTACAAAAGCGCTGATGGTCGCAAGGCGCAAGTGCCTTGGTGAACACATCAGCAGTGTTGGCCTCAGAGGCCACGTAAGCAAGTCGCAACTGACCACGCTGCTGCAGCTCACGAGCAAGGAAGTAGCGGAGAGCAATGTGCTTCGTTCTGTGCTCCAAGCGCTGCTCTCGACACAAGGCCAACATGGCCTTGTTGTCTACGTACAGCACTGGAGGAGAACGAGGCAGCTCTCCAAGGTCAGTCAGCAGGTAGGTGAGCCAGCGAAGCTCCTGTGCAGCCATGGCCCCGGCGTAGATCTCAGCCTCACAACTGGAGCCGAGAACCGAAGACGAGCGAGTAGACCGCCACGAGACAGAGCCGGAACCAAGGCTGAAGGTGTAACCCTGTGACGACCGCTGCGTAGCCTGGTCGTCAGCCCAAGAAGCGTCTGCGTGCCCAGTAAGGACCACTGGACTCCGCCCTCCAAGCACTAGCCCCATGCCCGACGTACTGCACAGGTAGCGCAATACCCTCTTCGCTGCAGCCATGTGCTCTGGTCGGTGTCTCCCAGGAGCAACATAGCGTGCAAGGATGCTCAGAGGGTATGCAAGGTCAGGTCGTGTGCAGGTCATCAGGTACATGAGGCAGCCAACAAGCTCTGCATACGGGCCACTCGACTCTACGGACTCATCCGAAGGCAGAGCTGAGAGTGAGTGGCGAGTAGGCAGAGGAGTGGCCTGAGGCGAGGAGTACGTGAAGCCGAAGCGCTGAAGGACCTGCTGCACCATGTGTGACTGAGTCAGGGTAATGGTGCGGCGTGCTCTGTCCCGAGTGATCTGCAAGCCAAGGTAGCTGCGCAGTTCACCCAGGTCTGTGCACGTGTGTCTCTTCAGCAGCTCGGACTTCACGTAGGCGAGTCCAGCAGTGTCCGCTGTGGCAAAGACCAAGTCGTCGACGTACACGAGGATGTAGAACGGCGGCAGGGAAGTGTCGGTGCGAAGAAACAGCGACGGGTCAGCAGTAGAAGGAGCAAACCCAAGAGCCGCAAGCGTAGTCCTCAGTGTGTCGTGCCACTCACGCGGTGCCTGGCGGAGACCGTAGACTGGCCGTCGGAGGCTCCACTGGGTGCCAGGAGGGAAAGTCCCAGTGAAGCCAGGCGGACGGCGCAGCCAGATCTCCTCGTGCAGGCTACCCTGCAGGAACGCAGTGCTGAAGTCGAGAGAGTGAAGCTCGTAGTCGCGCTGAGCGGCAATGTGCAGCAGCACCCGAAGAGTGGTCATCTTCGGGGTGGGAGAGAAGGTCTGAAAGTAGTCAACTCCCTGCCGCTGACTGAAGCCACGAGCCACGTAACGCGCCTTGAAGACAGGCGGCGAGCCCGGCGGCCGCTTCACCCTGAAGATCCACATGCCACTGACGATGTTCGCCCCAGGAGGGGGAACCGCGTCAACGTAGGTGCCTGTGGACTTCCAGGAAGCCATCTCTGCATCCATAGCTGCCTGCCACTGAGAGGAGTAGGGACCCTCTACGGCCTCCGCGTAAGAACGCGGAGTCGGGATGTCTAGTGCATCCGGGTCTCCCTCAGGGGCTAGCAGTACAGACGCGAGACGAGGTGAAGCAGCGGCTAGACACTGGAACTCCTCCTGCCTGTCCTCTAGGACGTCCGTGCCAAGGGCACACTCACCCCCGACGGACGGAGGACAGGCGGACTCAGACTCAGCGACAAGACGAGCAGCGTAGTCTAGACGACAGCGCGCAGCAAAGTCGACAAGCTCAGTGACAAGGGCAGACGCAGCAGACGACTCGAAGGAAGGGTCAGTGACAGCAGTAGCAAGGAGACGCGTGACAGTAGGACTGGCAGCACGAAGAGAGTCCGACTCCGGGTCGGCAAGAGCAGGAAGAGAGGAAGCAGGAGGAGAAGGCAAAGGGGCACGCAGAGGAGCAGTGGACGGACGCAGTGACATCCGGTGCGTGCCAGGGACAGGAGGAGGACGCTGACGCGACCCGCGACCACTAGCGCGCTCAGTACGAACAGGCGACGCAGGACGAGACGCAGGCTCACGACGCTCAGTAAGACCTCCAGTCGGACCAGCGTAGGGAGAAGGAGCAGGCAAAGGGGAGGCAGGCTGTAGCTGTGGCTGCGACCGGACAGGCTGCGGACCCTCTAAGGGAGGAGGAGGAGGTGTAAGACCAAGAACCTGCTGCAGGAGCGGAACGAAGTACGGTCGGGGCCGCGCGGCGACGCCAGAAACAGCAGGAACAGCACCAGCACCCCCGGCAGGAGCACCCACTCCAGCAGCACCTCCAGCAGAACCACCAGAAGCTCCAGAACCTCCAGCAGCAGCACCAGGAGCACCGTCAGTCGGACCACCAACCGCAGGCTCAGCGCCAACGTCCTCAGCAGGACCAGCTCCAGGAGAACCCTCAGACCCAGCAGCTCCAGCACCCACAGGACGAGCACCGCCAGGTCGCGTGGCAGCAGCGCCCTCCGCAGCCGAAGAACCACCAGCACCAGCGGCACGCCTCCAGCGCCGGGCAAACCACTCACGCAGCTCCTGTGGAGAGAGCGGCTCCCGGCGAGACGAAGCACCCCCAGGCACAGCACCTCCAGGCTCGGCACCTCCAGGCTCAGCACCCCCAGGCTCAGTACCCCCAGACACAGCACCCCCAGGCACAGCACCCCCAGGCTCAGCACCCCCAGGCTCAGCACCCCCAGGCCCAGCACCCCCAGACTCCGCACCCCCAGGCTCAGCACCCCCAGGCTCAGCACCCCTAGACTCCGCACCCCCAGGCTCAGCTCCCGCAGCAGCACCGGAGTCACCAGTGACCTCGACAGGCTCGACCGCGTCTACCTGAGACACACCTGAAGGGGCAGGACCCTGAGGGGGGAGGGGGACTACTGGGGGGGGACCTGGTACCAAGAAGAGCGGGGGTGGGGGGAGGGACGGAGTGCGGTAGGGGAAGAGGCGGTAGTAGGGTACCGACTCGTCGAACGTGACGTCCTGGGAGGACAGAACACGTCGAGAGGTGGGGTGGTAAAACTGCCACCCAGGGGCGTCGGGGGGGGAACCCGAGGAAGACGCAGGGAGAAGCACGAGGGGACAGCTTGTCCGCAGACAGGTCGCGAACAAACGCCCGAGATCCCCAGACCCGGAACGCCGACGCATCGCCAACCTTCCCCGTCCACAACAGAGCTGGGGAGGTCTCCGGTCGAGAGACCCTGGGGTGGAGGTTGATCTGGTGCGCAGCGTACCTGACCGCAAACGACCACAGAAAATGGGGAGCAGCCGCATGCATCATGGACGTACGAGCGACGTCCATGACCATGCCAATGCGGCGCTCAGCGATCCCATTCTGCTGTGGTGAGTCCGGAAGCGTGAAGGTCTGACGGATGCCTCGCCCACGACAGTAGGCACTCAGGAGGGCCGAGGAGAACTCTCCGCCTCTGTCCGAGTGCAGACGCAAGACAGGGAAGTCAGAGCCAAAGCTTCTCCGAAGCTGAAGACGAGCTGCGCGGATCCAGTCGATCAACACCTGAGTGACCTCACCCTTGCTGCGCAAGGGGAAGACTGTGGTGTAACGCGAGTAGTCGTCAACCACTAGCAGGAAGTAGCGCTCCTGACCCTGTCCACGGACGCGGGCTGGGCCCCACACGTCCATGTGAAGGGTCTGCAACGGGGCCTCTGTCGGAGGAAACTGGGAGGAGTGAGGGGCAGCACGCTGGCGCCCCTCGACACAGGGGACACAGGCAGGGCCAGGGCCCGGAGGAAGGGGAGGGAGGGACCGGGGAAGACCAGACACAAGGACCCGCGAGGCCATGCCTCTGAGCCGAAGCAGAGAGGGGTGGCCAAGGCGGTGGTGCCAGAGGAGGGTCTCGTGAGACAGACGACGACACGAACAAGGGGCAGACTCAGGACCAGACCTGGACGCTGCAGCAAACACCTGACCAGACGAAGGGGCCCTACCAGACGCAGTACCTTGAGGAGAAGCAGTGGTCAGTGTGTACAGGCTCGACCCCGGCCGACGTGTAAACGTAGCCAGGTGGCGACCTGTATCCGCCTCCGTACAGTGGGTCACCCGCTGACGAGCAGGGGTGAACTGGTGGACACCTGCATCCTGGAGGTCAGCACCACTCACCAAGTTCGTCGAGAACGAGGGGAGGTAGAGACCAGTCAGGGTGCCAGAGGGGGCCGCCGGACACGGGAGGACAGTGGAGAAGCGAGACAGGACAGGCCCCCCAGAGGGGTCCGCCAGGGACACCGCAACAGGCCGACTCAGCGGCGTGAGAGTGGTGCGGTCCCTAAAGAAGGAGCGAGACGCTCCAGAGTCAAGGGTGAAGGTGTGAGAGGCCGAAGCCGACACAGTACCTGAGAGGGCGGACTCACCAGTACCTGAAAGCACAGACGCACTGGCACCTAGAGCAGCAGCCTCACTAGTACCTGACGCGGCAGTACCAATGCCCGGGTCGGGCGGGAAACACCGGTAACAGTCATCCTCATCACTACCAGTCACAGCATACATAGCAGAGAGAATAGCATCAAAATCAAGATCATAAATAGCTACACCAGCCCTAGACAGCTCTCCCCAGCGGGGGATCTCAGCGGCCTCCGGAAACTGCTGACGCCAGGCGTCGGTCAGGCGGCCAAAGCAGCGACGGGCTGTGTGGGCGCCTCCACACCTCTCCCCTGCACGGTCACCAGTGCGAAGAACGTAGGGGCAGGGACCAAGCGCACCACCGCGCTGACGCTGCAAGTACCACTCACGGAGCTGCTGAGGGCCGGGGACGGTGCGAGAGCGCTGCTGCTGCTGCGGCTGCTGCTGTGGCTGCTGCTGCTGCTGCTGCTGGCGCTGACCACCCCCAGAGCTGCTCCGCTGGGACGAGCCACTCCGACCCCCTCCTCCACCGCCACCCCCGCCTCCACCGCCACCCCCGTCGCCACCGCCACCTCCCCCACCAGGACCGTCGCTCCCACCGCTCCCACCGCCTCCTCCGCTACCACCTCTGCCGCCACCTCCGCCTCCACCGCCGCCACTACTACCTCCACTCCCGCCACCACCCCCCCCGCCACCCCCACTCCCCCCTCCACCCCCACCGCCTCCTCCACCGCCCCCTCTGGCTCCACCCGCTCCCTTGCCCCCCTTGCCCTTGCCAGTGCGGCGTCTGCCACTGGGGGCAGACGCCGCGCCGACCGACTCAAAACCAACGAGGTCGGCCGCAGCGGCAGAGGCGACAGAGGGCAGCAGGGGGGAGGGACCACACCCCTCAAAGATGGGGGTGCGAGGGTCACCCCGAGAGGCCCCTACAGCGACAATACTCTTCTCAGCCGCTAGCAGGGACTCCTCAAGGAGGTCGACAGTGAGAGTGGTGAGACAGACAGAGAGAAACTGGTCCCTAACGACACGAAGGGACTCAGGAAGACGGGTGACGAGAAAGTAGAGAGTGATGTACATGGGAGGAGGGTTCGCAGCGCGGAACTCAGCAGGAAGGGCAGCGCGGTAGCGGGTGTCACTAGCGCGGAGGTGGGTAACGAGGTCAGCGACAGTGGGAAAGGAAGCGAGGTCAGGGAAGAGAAACGGTAGCATGAGGCGGCTAAGGGTAGCGGAGGAAGGGGAGGAGTAGCGCGCAACTACAGCGTCGTACAAGGCCTGAGCGGTCTTGCACTGACTAAAGTGGGCACGCTCAGAGGAAGGGAGGTGGCGACGCACAGCAAGACGTGCAGCAGCATCGCGGGTCGCCCACTTGGAGCGAACGGCAGAGTCAGCATCAGCAGGCGGGGCAGGGACAGCGCCAGAGACAAAGTCAAAGAGAGAGACCTCATCTACCGCATCACACAGTAAGTACAGCTGCAGGTCCTCGATCCAGACGGCAAAGTCAATGGCCCTCCCCTCAGCGTCAAAAGTGAGAACATTGGGGGTGGCCATGGCAGCAGCTGAAAGTCTCACCAGGATGGGAGAGTCGGGTAGGTCAGCAGCAGGCGGCTCGGGCTGCTCGGGCGGCTCGGGCGGCTCGGGCGGCTCGGGCGTCTCGGGTACCGGGCGGCTCGGCTGCTGCTGGGCGGCTCGGCTGCCGCTGGGCGGCTCGGCTGCGGCTGGGCGGCTCGGCTGCTGCCGGGCGGCTCGGCGGGGCCGTCAGGGTGCAGCTGCGGGGCCGGGACAGGGGACGGCGGGGCCGTCAGGGTGCAGCGGCGGGGCCGGGACAGGGGACGGCGGAGCCGTCAGGTGGCGGGCCAGCAGGCGAGGTGGCGAGCCGTCAGGTGAGGCGGCGGGGCCGTCAGGTCAGGTGGCGGGCCAGCAGGTGAGGCGGCGGGGCCGTCAGGTCAGGTGGCGGGCCAGCGGGTGAGGCGGCGGGCCGTCAGGTGAGGTGGCGGGCCAGCAGGTTAGGCGGCGGGCCGTCAGGTGAGGCGGCGAGGCCGTCAGGTCAGGTGGCGGGCCAGTAGGTGAGGCGGCGGGCCGTCAGGTGAGGCGGCGGGGCCGTCAGGTAAGGTGGCGGCGGGCCGTCAGGTGAGGCGGCGGGGCCGTCAGGTAAGGTGGCGGGCCAGCAGGTGAGACGGTGGGCCGTCAGGTGAGGCGGGGGGGCCGTCTGGTGAGGTGGCGGGCCAGAAGTCGAGGCGGCGGGCCGTCAGGTGAGGCGGCGGCCGTCAGGTAAGGCGGCTGCGGGGCCGACAGAGGTGCAGCGGGGGGGGGGGGGGGGGCCTGCTGCAGCGACGAAGAGGCCGCGCGGCCGTCTTGAGGGCGGCGCGGCGCGGCAGAGCCGAGAGGGCGGCGCGGCGCGGCTGTAAGGGCCGCGCGAAGTGGGGCCTGAACCGCGCGCGCGAAAAAAAATGAGTCGCGCGCGCGACTCTCGGGGCGCCACAAGGGCAGCTCGACGCGCACTAGGGGGAGCGCGCCTCGGGGAGAATAGGGCGCGCTCCGGGCAGGAAAAAAAAAAATCGTGGGTGGGCCCAAAGAACGGTCCTTAGGAGGGACCCGCTCTATACCATGTGAAACTAACTGAACAGGAATGAATTGACTAAGTCAGAGTTGGGTACAAATACAACCCTAGCAAACTGTACCCCATATGTGCTACCCCACTATAGCCTACAAACATGCATCAGCTATAATAATCTGACAGACCACGCTTTTTTGCGCAGGCTTCGACCCGAAACTACCGTCCGATCCCTTGCTCCGCTTCGAGCTCTCCTTGTCGTCTCCGTCGCCCGTCCTCTTATGGCCCTGCTTCTCGGCCGTTTTTCTTTGCGCGTTATCGGCGTCATTGGCCGAAGGCGACGACCCACGACGACCAGGCGCCACAGTGCCGATCATCTCTGTCATCATCTTCATCCCGGAAACAACAAAAGACTGTTGGGTGGCCTCCGTCACCGCCTTCAGGATGTCGGCCTTGAACGACTTCAAAAGCTCTTCTGGGATGGCGGGCGGCGTGGGATGAGGCGGTGGCGGCGGCGGCACGGCGAGCCTGGCGGTCAAAGCGGTGGCGATGTTGACCTGCGCGGAGGCAAGGTGGTTCGAGATGTACTCTTCCAACCCCTTCTTCGCATCGCCCACCACCGAATCCACGTGTTCGGCCAAGGAGGAGACCGCTAACGCTCGTGCATACGCGACACGACCCTCCGGATTGTCAAAGTCCTCCAACCACTCCGTCGCATGTTCCGCGAAAGTCTTCATCGACTTCCACGCTTCGTCAAAGCTGCCGGAGATGTTGCCCGTGATGGTCTTCGACATGGCCTCCGTCGCGTTTCGCAGCTGTTCCGCGGCATACTTGTCGGTGTCGTCGACCTGCTCGGCCAACCCTTTAACGTGGTCGACGAGTCGACTGACCCCAACAAAAAAACTGTCCAGCTGGGACCGCTTCGCATCGAGCAACGACGCCAGCCGAGCGTTCTCCGCCCGCAACAACCAGTTTTCCCGTCGCAGAACCTCGACGTCGTCCAGTTCTGGGCCCTGCCGACCAGGTGCTTCCCCGGCCTCCTGCTCGCCCGTGTTGTTCGGCCCTTCGCCGGCGTCGACCGACACCTTCCCACCTCCTTCGCAGGCCGCCTCATCCTGGCCATTTCCAGGTGCCTCCACGCCGACCTCGCCCTTCTCCTTCCCCACATCTGCCGACCTCGTAGCATTTCCCGCGCCGTCATCCTTCTCTTCCTCATTCCCCTGATCTGCCGACCCCACCGCCTCTTCCGCCGCTCCCGCCTCAACCGTACCCTCTACATACTCCACCACGAACTCCACCTCTTCATCCCCCCCCTCCTCATCCTTCCCTCCCTCCCACTTCTCACCATTCTCGTCCTTATTCTCCTCCTCCTCCTCCTCATACTCCTCCTCGTCCTTACGCTTCACCGCCTCGTCTTCCTCCTCCGACTCCGACTCCGACTCCGACGACGACGACGACGACTTCTCCGTTTCCGACCTTCCTGCACCTGCTTCTGCGTCGCCTCCTCCACCGTTTCCACCTTCCCCATGCACCCTCGCGTTCCCATGATGCTGGGCGGCAACTGCACCTTGGGGCGCCTTCTGTCCTTCCGCGACGTCGTCATCTATGGCATTGTCGGCGGGTCCGGCGGCTTGAGAAGTCGGCGTCGCGGTGCGTTTTACGGCAATGACCTTGCCGACGTACTCAACCATGCTGTCGCGCAAAGCCTTCAGCCCCTTCATCCCGATGCTCTCGATGCTCACCCCACGACGACCCTTCTCGCCTGTCAGATGGTCGATCTGTTTTGCTACCCACCCGAACGACGTCGCGGAAAGCACGCCGGCACCGACATGCCCGTCCGACACTGTGCCCGGCACTTTCTGCATACAAGCACGGAACATGATGAGCGGAGCGTTCAGAAACGGGCACCCCCCCCTTGCGACTTGAACGTGCAACTCACATCGCGGATAGGGTGGTCGCAGTCGGCCAGCCTAACCTCCACCACTGCTTGTGATGGCGGCGCCCAGTCCCACATCCTACCGGGACGCCCCAGCTCGGCCAGGACAGCCGTGCGGAAGAACCTGAAGCACCGCGGTGGGGGGAGGCGGTCAGCGTGTGATACCCTGTGTCGCCGACTAACAAGCGGGTCATCGACGACAATTCAGCACTTACTTTAGCACGCGGGCGGCCTCGTCGCGGTGATACCCTTTACCGGTCTGCGGGTCGATGTGCCGGATTGAGGTCCTGCACACCTGTCCCTCAGCCTTCAACAGATCTCCAGGGTATAGGATGGCAATGACGCTGCAGTGCGTTCCTGGAAGCGCACCGAGGCTGCACATGCAATTCACGACGACGTCGATCACATCACCACGCGATGTCGCGACACTAAACAACGACAACTGATCAAAGGTGAAACAGCTCACATCGTTCTTAACGGGATAGCGGCGATGTCGGCGTCGAAAACCGCAGCAAAGCATGAATGGTCGGCCAGCCGCATGGCCGATCGAAGCGTGCCGACGTAGAGAACCCACAAACGCTGGTTCTCGATCCCAAGTCGGGACCACGCGAACCTGACGGCACGATTGGGCAAGGAGGTTCATACAAGGGCGGTTGAGCAAACGCCGAAAAGTACAGAGGGCGACTACGTGTGGTCGACGATTCCTAAGGTGGCCGGCGTTCCTGGAGGGGGTCTATGCCTAATACCGCGCACGTCGACGTAAATCAGAAGGCCACTGCGTCGACACCCAACCTAGTTAAGTCGGCGCCGACTACTCGAGTCGTACCTGATGCCGAAATCCAAACATCCGTCGTTGAACTCTATCTTGTGGTTGCGAAGAACTAAGAAGTCTTCCCACTCCACCCAACCCAGTTAAGTCGGCGCCGACTACTCGAGTCGTACCTGATGCCGAAATCCAAACATCCGTCGTTGAACTCTATCTTGTGGTTGCGAAGAACTAAGAAGTCTTCCCACTCTAAAGTGAAGCTGAGACCAGGACCCATTTGGTGACGAAGAGGGAAGTCAGCCGAAGTCGGCGCCGAGTTATCGGGGTCAGGGCTAGGGTCCATACCGACTAAGGGGATGCGATATCACGATAGCCGCACAGAGCAACGAAAGGAGGAAAAAAGGAAAAGGAGGAGCGAAACGAGATGCGGAAAATGGGGAGCGAGGCCACCATCCACAAAGAAAAGGAGACGGTGGCCCACCGCATCCCCGTTCAGCGTCGCCCAAGGGTGTGGGGCCTCGCTCGGCAGGGCTCTGAGGGCGCATGCGCAAGTGGAACAGGTGGTCCGACTCCGCTTCGGCAGGGCGTCGACCTCGCGTCCATTGTCCCAGGTCGGCGAGGGGACGCAATATCGCGTGCGCGATGAGCGTGCATTCGCACAACACGCGTCGACTTCGTAGTGGGTAACGAACCTCGTCCGCGTCGCGGCCTTTTTTTTTTTCGCTCGCAACGACAAAGTATCGCATGCGCCCGATGCAAAACCACGAGCGAACACGTGGCGTCGCCGCAACGGGTCGCGAAATTGTCGAGCGTCCCGAGGGGGCCCCGACTTTTCGCCCGGCCCTCGCCTGCCTGTCCGGGCAGGCCGCGATGGGTTACTAGGACCTCGCGGGCATGTGGCGCGTGTGGGCTGCCTTCGCGCGAGGGTAATTTTCCCACGCGCGAGGTGTCGCCAGTTCGCCGACCCCACCCGGTAACGTGGGCCGCTGTTCACATTCGGGGCGGGGCCGCGGGGCGGCGGTCGTGCGCTCGGCCCAGCCTTGGGCCAGGCTGGCGGGCCCGCACGCGCGTCAGTGCTCCGCCCCGTCAGCCCAGGCTTCGACGACCCCCCTCGACGACACTGGCAATTCGGCTCCGTCGACCGAATTCCGCTGGGGTGTTCGGAGATAATGGCCGTGACAACTCGCCTTCGACCCGCCCACGACAACTGCATTAATTCTCAACCACGTCAGGTGCTGCCAGCTGCAGCTGCGGAAAGTACCACCGAAGTTCTCGGTGCAATCACGACAAATTTCGACAGTTCGAGCAATGGCGATTTTTCATCACGGTTTCTGGTCTACTTACACGGGTTCACCCTTGAAGACTTTTTGGGCACGTCACACCTGGTTTTGTCATCGATTTTTCCACACCGACGCAATTTCACCAGGCCCTCTACGCTCTACGCATTTCTCATTGGGACTTCACACCCGGTTTTGTTGGTTTTCATCTCGGCGCAGCTGTGAAACATTTTCTGGCGTGCTTTCTTGGAGGGGGGGAGAAAGTGCTTTGCACTGTTCTTTCCTAGGCGTTTTTCTCGGTCTTTTCTAACTTTGTCAGTTTGTGTCAGCACGACGGACGATCGCGATCACACCGACATGATCAACGGTTTCTGCTACATCGCGATTGAATTTCGCGTCAGCAGGTTCCCTCCAATCTCGCGGCAGTCTTCGACCGTCAGATCTGCACCTGCTCGATCTACGGCCCACATTCCAACCTTCACTTCATTTTGGGATAGATCATAGTCGACCGTCAGATCGAAATCAGACTTCATCAACGGCCTACATTCCAACTTTTTCAAAAATATTCTCAAAGACATTTTGGCCGTCGGATTCAGCTGAAGAGGAGATCTACGGAATCCTTGCTAGTGTGGGGCCTGTTTCAGTACAAGGCTGCCTTATTTAAAAGGTGGGAGAGTGTAAGGATTTTCGATTCCTTACTGAGGCACTCGTTAGCGAGGTCATCCCGAGGGTCACGCGACGAACCTGTCTTGCCTATTTCGTCGCACCGAACCACCCCCGAGTCGGCCTCCGCTCCAATCGCAACCATCACCGAGCCATCCCAACCCGAACCCCCCGCCTAGCTAGCTTTTCCCTATTTAGGCCTCCCTACTTCATTGTTTCTTCATTCAGTGATTCAGTAATTTCCATTCTCGTTTTCGTTTTACTGCGCACTCTGCAAGTTGATTCATAACATGTCCCCTGTCCATGAACTGTACTTCTCAAGCACATCCGCATACCCACAGCAACACCTACCAAAGCAACTGAACATCAGCTTTGTGGTACAGTATCCAGGCGAGCCAGCATCATATGTTTCTGGGATTGCCGGCCAGTCTCACTCTTTTTTAGGACCCAGACTAACTGCTTCAGTCCTTGCGAAACGATTCCTTCTTTCGGTATACGGTGCTAGTCCTCTGCCCTTTTTGAACCTCGAGTCGCTCCGAGTGACCATCATACCTTCCGGCTCCGTTTGTTGTCGTACCCGCATCTTTCCCTGCACCGGCGGCGGAAGCTGGCAGTTCTATGCTAAAGCATTTGTGTCTGCCATTTCACGTACCAAAATAAAATCTTAGTCCATTAAACGAGGCCCTTCGTCGAAACCATGAGTTCAGCTTCCTTACCTCGCAGAACTGTCGAGTCTTCAGAAGCGACCAGCCGATCGCATCCTAATGACTTATCAGCGGCAAGGTTGCCGGGAAATGCGGAGGCTACTGAGCATGGCCCAGCCGGCGTCACGGAAGCGCAACGGTTCGTTACTCCGCCGGAATCCCCGTCAGGAGTTCAGGGAATTCAGGGAAATCTTGCCATTGCCTTACAACGCGCTGCGGAAAGCTCACGAGCTCCGCATTCAGCGGTGGTTACTCTCGCGGAGGATCGTCGCGCGCTTCTGTCACAGCCCAGAAGTGACAATAACGAAGCAATCTCCGAACTCTCACGTGCAAGCGGCGACGATCCTGAAGTTGGGCGAACGGAGAGCGCAAGCGACCGCCAGGCGGACGGGGATGACTCAGCTCACCCGCTTATCAGACCCAGCGACAGCAGAGACGATCGCTCGCTTAACGGAGGAACTTTCTCAGTCAGTCAAGGCGTTCCGTCAGTCAGCAAAGGTGCTCCGTCCGTGGCCAGGATTCGGGATAAGGGACTGCTACCAAGGTAGGGCGCGGTGCCGAGATAAGACATGGTAAGACTTGTCGTTGTCGGCAACATTGAAATTTGGATCAGGAACAGTGGGTTGGGGTACTTGTGATTTGTGGTTTGATTCAGAGCACAGTACAGTGCATCATCCCAGGATAGACTGTTCATCTATGCTGTCTGTCTGCCTGACACCATAAAATCTCGCAGGAACGCAAACGTGGTAATCTCGTTTCATTCTCCTTGCTAGCTCAACCGGTTCTTCCTTGTTCGACCTGGACTCGATTTTTGAGGCGCCTTAGTTTTTTTTTTCATTCTGCAGAAGCTCAACTGGATCTTCCTTGTTGGACCTGGACTCCTGCCTACCACTTTCTCAGGAACGCGCAGGCCCTGCTGGCTCCGATAAAGGAACGGTTCTGGACAACCGCAGCCCTTGCAGTGGCTATTTCCGGGGCAGCGATTCTGCTGGCCGCTACCCTCTCGCTCGCACTCGTGCCCGCTGCAGCCCCTGGCAATGCTCTGTCCGTGCAGGACTATGGAGGTGAGGAAGAGGTAGGAGGAAGTAGGAGAAATTATTACATTGGAAGCTTCTCCAGTCGTGATTGGATAGATCATGGTGGTGGTTACCCTCTCGCGCGTTTGTGCCCGTTACCACAGCCCCTGACAGTGGCTCAAGTGCAATGTCCGTACATGACATTGGAGGGGAGGAGGAAGTAGGAGGGACAGTTAGATTGGAAGCTTCTTTAAGGTTAGATCACACGGTGGTGGTTACCCTCTCACTCACGCTTGCACCTGTTACAATCCCTGCTCAGTGGTTACACGAGTGGTATGTCCGGTCCGTGCAGCACATGGGAGGTGAGGAACCAGCCAGCAACCTAGCAGGAATACGGGATTCGAGATGCCTCAAGGAAATAGACTTTGGTGGTGGTTACCCTCTCTGCGCCTGCCCTCCATTCCCTTCCCCTTCTTTACTGCTGTTCCCGCCTCCTCTTTCCCCCCCTTCTCTCTCTACGCCATCACCCCACCCCAGTCCCCTTCAACCTATCCTGGCAGGGGTATCGCACCTACCTGCAGCAGCTGCAGCCACTACTGCAGCACCTGCGCCTCCCCTCCATCCCCTTCCCCTTCTCCCCCCATCTGCGTCC